CTCGATATGAAAAAGGCGTTCTATGCCAAACTCACATCTGTGGTAGATAAATGCGCCTTGCGAGACATTTGCTTTATACTGGGCGACTTCAGTGTGGTATCTAGTGGTAATCGAGCGAGAACAGTCTCCTTCTCCAGGACTTTGCTAGGTCCCAGAGAATGAGCATTTCTGGATCCTGGTATCAGTGCTCAAATCTGCATCGCTGGACTTGATACAGCGATATGGGTCAAGGAAATCGACCACATCCTTGTTAGTAATCGCTGGAGGATCCTTTAGACCTGTAGGGTTCTGTGGCACTGACCATAGATTGTTTGCAGCGACCCTGTGAATTCACTTTAAATCCCGTGGCCACTCTAGGGTGTTTCACCTGAACAGATTGGGGGAAGTGGAGTGTACACATAGGTTCGCCACACAATATCTGATCGGTTAACAGTGCTTGAAAACCTGACAGACCTTGTAGCACTATGGGATTCCTTTAAGCATGAAACACTTGATGCAGCTCAAGAGTTCATTGGTGAACATCCATGGACGAGGCCGAATTTCATCTCGCTGGAGAAATTAGAGGCCATGGATCCATGCTGCATGGCTAGTCTGAACGGCAATCAGGATTTATGCTGTTCCTTGGTGCACAGGGCTCAGACTTTGTTGAGGAGGGATAAGCAACATTTCATCAGGAATCTTGCTGAGGAAATAGAACGGCATTTCCTTGTAAATTACCTTTGTCCTCCCTACCAAGCCCTGAGAAAACTGAACTCCAATCCCTCCGCAGAGATGTCTGTGGTTCGCTTAGTGAATGGACAGATCATCTCAGATCATGTTGGGGTTCGTGAACATTGGGCAGAGCATTTTGAGCAATTGTATCAAGTAGACCCCCCAGCAGTTAGTCTAGATGCAAGGGATGTCACAAATCTATGCATAACCCACCCTTCAATGAAGAGCCCCCTAACCTGATAAAGGTTAGGGAGGCGATCTCTAAGCTGAAGGGTGGGAAAGCTGCAGGTATACGCGATATCCCTGCTGAACTGCTAAAGGCTGGGGGTGAGCCTATGGCACGGGGCTGGCATGCTGTCCTGGCTGCCATCTGCCAGTCCATGTCCATTCCCTCTGACCTGTTGAGGAGTGTGGTCATCCCTCTGTGGAAGGGGAAAGGGGATCATTGGGACTGTAGCAACTACCGTGACATCACATTGCTCAGTATACCAGGCAAGGTTTTCGCCCACTTTCTTCTGAAACAGATCAGCAACCACTTACTAAGTCAC